GGGGCTAGTTTCTGATTAGTTGGGGCCAACAGTAGGGATCTAATTCCTCTGGCCAATGATAGGTTTCAATAAGGGTCATGTGACTTTTTTTGGCCAATGAAATATGAGAAGTTTGCTGAGGAACTTCAGGGAAAGAAGTCTCTCTTTTAAGAAGTTTTTACAAAGAGCTATAAGGCAGAGACACAGAATGGTAAATTTCCTTACCAGATAATACATTTTAAATGGGAATGTGTTACTTGCAGCCAAAACACCCTAACTGGTTCACATTATACTTTTCAGCAATCACCTTGGATTTCCCAAACTGGCCAATTGTCAGAACTTGTTAAAATACTGATCCCTCAGCCCCAGGCCCACCTGGTCCACCCAGACATCTGGTTGTAAGAGGTGGGGCCAGGGAATCTGTGGGCTTCCAAGTGCCCTTGGCTATTCTGACCATCAGGCAGGTTGAGAAAATAAACCCACTGCCTTCAAGCCTTACCAGCCAGTTCACAGACAGAGCCAGGGGTGCCAGCGTGGGGTGGAGCTGTGGCACTGCCTTGGTGCATGGTCACCTGGGCACGCTGTTCCATTTAGCTGGGAGTCCATTACCCGTCTGCAAATGGGGATACTAGTTTCGGCCTCAGGGGAGAGCCGTTTGTTTCCACACCTGCCTCAGCCACCAGCCTAGAGGCCCCTAGGGCACAGGACTCAATGTGAGGAGCGTCTGGGTCCCTAGAATGTCCCAGCATGAAGCCAGGCACAGAGCAGATGCCCAGCAATATTGATTCAACGCAAGAGAGAAAAGCAAGCCCAGCACACAGGAGCCCCGAGTACACTGTCTTTCACAGTTTACATTGCAGCTCACCCCCACCTCTTGTGCCCACACTTGGTCCCCCCCTTTTTTCAGGTGAGCCTCAGAGAGGGGAGGTTACTGCTCCCAGATCACACAGCAAGTTAGTGGGATTCCAGGGTTTTGTGTACCACACTGGCCACTTCTCAGCACTGAAAAGGGGGTCCCATCTCCCTGTCAGGTCAGAAAAGCCACTCCACCTTGGACAAAAGGAAGAAAAATCTCAGTGGCCAGCTGGCGGAGGTGGTGCCTCCCATGGGGTGGAGTGCATGGAGAAGGTTCCATCAGTCCCTCCACCCCTGCCCCTAGCAACAGAACTGAAAAGCCACTCCACCTGGGACAAAAGGAAGAAAAATCTCAGTGGCCAGCTGGCGGAGGTGGTGCCTCCCATGGGGTGGAGTGCATCAGTCCCTCCACCCCTGCCCCTGGCAGCAGAACCGCTAGGTTGGGTTGGGGTCAATACCCATAGCCCTGAGAAAACATCACTTTTGAGACCATCTGACTGGGGCTGGGACTCAGAGGAAAGGATGGTACCTCTTCCCTAGCCAGTCCAACATGAAGTCCAAATGGTGGGATGGGAGGTTAGAAATCAGCCTGGGTCACTCATCACTCACTCACTCACTCACTCATTCATTCATTCTTTCACTCTCTCATTCATTTATTCATTCATTCACTTAGTCGCCCTCCATTTGTTCAACAAATATTTATAATTCAGATGTCAGCTCTCAATTACCACCTCCTCAGGGAAGCCTTCCCTGATGTTCCAATTGGAATTAGTCCACTCACCCCCTCACTCTACAGCCGTGGTCCTCAAAAGGTGGTCCACAGTCCAGCAGCATCAGGATCATCAGAAAACGTGTTAGACATGCAAATTCTCAGGCCCCTCCCCAGACTTACTGAATCAGAAACTCTGGAGGTGGGTCTCAGCTCTGTTTTAGCAGCCCCTCAGGGGGCTCTGATGCGAGCTCGAGTTTGAAAACCACTGACCTACAACAGCCCTCTGGTTCCTTCACCACACTAACGCTCCTGAGAATTGCTTGCCCATGGTTCGGTTTTTTGGCACATCATCTGTCTCCCTGACCAGCCTGGGATCCCGCTGGCGGGGACTAAGTGTGTCCTGCTTTGTCTCCACCATCTGAGGACTGGCTCTGGGAACAGATGACTGGATGGAAAGATATGGTGTCTCTCCACTGGGTGCCTTGTCCTAGGCCCTGGGCTGAGAGGTTGGAAGGATGGAGTGGCCAACCAGCCCAGCCTCTTACCTGGGGACAGTGCACAGGTAGGAAAGCAGCTTGGTGACCTCTGAGGCTGTGCACCATGGTGCCTCCCAGGCCCCCTGGGGGGTTGACACCAGAAGCAGGGGCCGCCCAGCCCTGTCCCGACCACCTGGAGGAGAGAGGACACACATGTGCAGTGAGAACTTTCGTGCAACCCTCTCTACTGGGACCTCTCTGTGGCCTCCAGGCCTTTGCCCACACTGGCCCCTTCCTACCCCCACCTCCACCCCCACCCATTAATTCTAAACTCTTATTCACCCTTCAAAACCCAGCTCAAAAGCCACTTCCTCAGAAAAGTCATCCCTGAATTCCTCCTCCATGCAGCGGTAGCCTCGCCTCCTCTGGACTCCCTCTGTCCTGGGCACCCTGGAGGTAAAGCTCATGAAATCTGTCCTCCCACAGTCTCCTGTATGGCCCCATCGTAACAAGTTTTTTTACATTGTTGTAGTAACCTGTTGAATTTTCTCCTCCACTAGAATATAGACTTTTTGAGAGCAGAGAACACATCAGACTTGCTCCCTGCTGAATCCTCAGTGCTAAGCTCAGGGCCTGACACACAGCAGGTGTTCAGCAAATACTAATTACAAAGGTGAATAAATATTAAACAGAAATGATAATGCCCTCTGTGCTGGATGCTGTTAACGCCCTGCCCAGACCCCCTCATCAAGTCAGGGCACTCATCTTCCCACAGCCATACGTATTGGCTGTAAATGGCTCACAGATGCCCTCTTCTCTGAAGACTTGCCCTCGGCTGAACTGGAGCCTGGGCTCACCCTGCCTCCCATCCCAGGATCAGCCCGGGTTGATGACTAACAGATGCCCGCACAAATGGCCAGTTGCCTGCACCTTAAGATGGAACCAGCTCTGTGGGATCAGGCCACATCCTTGCTTAGCTCCTCCCCCACCCTGACCTGCTTCCCTCACTCTCCTTCTGAGAGTAACCTTCAATAGGATCACTGTCTCTGGCTCAGTTTCTAGGGAATCTGACCTAAGACAAACACCTTCCCTGCCTTATTGAGAGTAGAATGTATGTACACGAGTAGATTAATGGGTAGGTGGAAGGATGGATGGATGGATGGATGGATGGATGGATGGATGGATGGATAGGTGGGTGGATGGATGTTTGGATGGATAGATGGGTGAGTGGGTGGTTAGGTGGATGGATGGATGAATATTTGGATGGATACCTAGAAATTGCTTTCATGCAGGGTGGGGCAAAGGTAGGTTTACAGTTGTGAGTACATGAGACACAGAGTCTATTTTTGTATTATTATTTATTAATTATTGTATTATTTTCCATATGAACAACTGTAAATCTACTTTTGCCCCACTCTGTATAATCCAACATCTTCATTGGAAAGATGAGAAAACTGAGGCTCAGTCCAGAACACAGGTCTCCAGAGCTTTCCATGTCTTCCCCCACACCCACCAACATCTGAGGATGCCCAGGGACCACCCCCCCC